TTTACAAAATTCGGTTCTTATTTGTTTTCCAAGCTAACGAGCGTTTGTACAGAACATTCACGCTATAACCCAAATTGAAGAGCGACAGCTAGCAGTAGAAATCGAACAGCAACGTGAGTTCGATCGAGCGAAAATGAACTCGCGCACTCGCATCAAGCATATGGAGGGGTATCTCCGGAATACCAGCCCACCGCCGTCTCCGGCCGGAATATCGACCAGAGCCGAACGACCCAAACACTCCTCCGAATCATTCTTGGAATACGACTCAACCCCACCAGCCCGTGTACTCACTCGCCAACACATGGAGCAGCTAGAACAACAATACCATTCCCACAAAAGTATGGACCAGCTCCACGACGCCCGCATAAAAGTCCTCCGTGACCGCCAAGAACTTAAGCTGCAGGAAGCCACGGGGCGTATGGAAAAGGAACTGGATGAATTGTGTAATCGACACACCCAGGACATTGCTACCCTGCAAGCCGAACACCAACGAGAGGAAATCTCTCTCATGCAAGCGTTGGGAACGAAAAAGACGACTTTGCGGCACCGCTGGTATTTGGAAGAGGCTGTCCTACGTCGACATCTCGAAGTGCGACATGGCCAATCATATGGTCCTTTGCCCCTTGTCGCCTTCACCCCCAATAGCCCCCATACTCCCAATGCTGTTGTGGAACACTCACCACTCAAAACTTCAACACCGGATACAATTCACCCCAGCCAGGATTATCTTCCTCTCTAATTGGAGACGATGACACGACATCTACTTAATATACCCCTCTAATCACCCTTCCTTCTGTCCCTGTTATGCCCTTTACCCTTCTTGTAATAATTTTGAATGCTTTTGGATCGACTGTCGCCCTACACATACACGCAATGCGGCGGCTTTTTTTGTCTCATGATTGCATGGCATTTGGTGCAGACCATTGGATAGACATACCAACCCTGTTTATAATTTAGCCGCAATGAAAATTCAAATTCACGTTGATTCGAACACTTCAAATTTCACATCAGGGTATCTCTCGCTGAAAAACAAAAACAAACACAGCACCTCATACTTCAGGCGTGCCAGGCGTGCCGGGTGATGCAGACAATACATCCACCCTCAACCTATCCAAAACTGTCTCAACTCTCCCCCCACCCGCAGTCATCGCATCCTCAACCTTCTTATCCCTCCCCTCATCACCAATAACAACAGCCCGCTCCACAACCCCAGCATTAGACAACTTAAACCGCCCAACCCGACCATCAGCCCACTCAACCCGCACATACCGCGCCTCAACCGCAACAGCAGCCAAAGACACAATCCCCGTATCTCGATCCGGCGAAACATCAAACGGCAACGACTTCCCACCTTCACCCACAAGACCCAATTTCTCGCGCAGGAAGTCAATCGCATCAACACGCATATGCCACGCAACAAGCTCCCTCCGGAGTTCACGCACAAATCCCCGCAAATCTTGTTTCCGAGTAGAACTGCCACTTTTCTTCCATGGCTTCGCGGGTTCAGCGTCCTCATCCTCGCCAGATGATCCTCCCCCTTCCCCATTCCCGTCTCCATTGTCGCGCGATACTCCAGGACGCGGTAGGTAAACACTCTCTAGCTTCGCTATCGATATAAACCCGGGTACTGTGTGTCGATGGACTTTGAACATCTTCGTAGAACCCGAACCGGGACCCGCGCGACTGCGCTCATGTTGGAGGAGGATGTAGTATGGTTTCGTGAAGCGGCCGTTGCGGGCGCATACGTCGATGCGCACGCCGAGGAGGGGCGCGGCGCTGGCTGTTGGGGATGGGTCTTTGAATGGGAAGGCTGTTGCGCCGAAGGCGATGCGGTGGTGGTTTGAGGATGTGTGTGCGCCAGCGGCATGGACGAGGGGGGATATTGTTGCGAGGGGGTCGGTTTGGTTCGTTGTGGTGGGGGGTCGGGGTTGTTTGCGGAGGAGTTTTTGGATTGGATTGGTTGTTAGGAGGCTGGATGTGAGGATGCGCTTGCGTTTCTGGAGGGTTTGGACTTGGTTTGGGTTAGCTTTGGAATTTGGGATTTGTATTAGGGGTTTTCGGTTGGGATGCTTACTTTCTGCGCGGATTGAGGTGATCTCTGTGTCTAGTTCGACTTCTTCTGGGTCTGGTGATGTGGGGGCGCGAGATGTGGTTGTTGTCATTTTGGGATGTTGGTTTGTAGATCCTGATACAATGCTGAAGGCGGGTATGGGTATTTCTCAGTGCTATATTGTTATTGAAAGTAAGGTATGTTGTAGTTGCACGATGGAAGATTGGGGATGTTGGAGTTGTTTATTTGCGACACGTGATCACGTCAACATCTGACGCGATTATGCAGAAGCTTGGGCTCAATGGGCTGGGATTATTAGATTATTTTATTACACAAGATCTGAACAGATCAAGAGGGGTCTAAGCCTTAACTGTGCTTAGATGGGGGAGGCTTAGTTTATATAGATCTGATACGATATATGCTTGACTCCTATAAAAAGTAGAGTCCCACTGTGTTGATGTGGTGACCTCATAGTGTTAAGTGTTATATGTGTAACAAGAGTGAGAATACATATCAAAACAATCAGATTCATATTCAGATCAACATCCATGATTATGTCTATGTTCATTCCATGTTCGACTATTTTCCACCTGAAGAAGCCTAAAATGGACCCTGCCCCGGCTCCCCGGATCTGCACAGCCAAGAGGCCAGCTTGCCTCATGTTCTTTTTGTCATCCTCTGGTTCGAAGATCCCCCCACCAAACATCTATTGAGGTTTCTTTCTTTTCAAATCCCTCATTCACTCCTTTATTCTCAGTGGAATTAAACATACAGGACACTCAGGGTATCTAAACCTGCAGACCCCTTCAAAGTCGAACCTTCAACCCATCCCTTTCACTATTCAATATCATAATAACCAACTTCAGTCCTCGACACAATCAGGACGAAGTTGACGAAGGCGATATCTCCCTACGATACCAGAGCATTCAATGACACGCAAGAACGCGACCCTCTCGAAGCGCCGCTCCAAAGCGAACCTGACAGTTTCTACCGGGTCCAACGGACGTGCGAATGGAAAGATGAATAACAACATCGAAATGCGCAGGAGGGACACACCCTCCACGGAGACCTCAGCCGAAAGAACAGCCCAACTTATGTCACGATCTTCATTTTCCCTCGACAACGAACCCGCCGTGCCTCAAACCCCGATCCAGACGAATACAACTTTCCACAACCTACCACGCAGTGATCGCCGCAACTTCCTGCTGCTGGTTTTGTTATACTTCCTCCAAGGAATTCCCATGGGCTTAGCCACCGGCTCCGTCCCCTTCCTGCTTAAGCCGTACCTCTCCTACGGCCAGATAGGAATCTTCTCGCTGGCCTCATACCCATACTCGCTCAAATTGTTTTGGAGTCCTATTGTCGATGCTGTGTGGAGTACGCGCTTTGGTCGGCGCAAGAGCTGGATTACCCCCGTGCAGGTGATTGCCGGATTAGCTATGATCTATATGGGTGGCCATATCGAGGATATGATGATACAAGCCGGCGCTAACGGCGGCGCAGGAGTCTGGAAATTCACATACTGGTGGTTTATGTTGGTGCTTTTTTGTGCCACCCAGGATATTGCTGTGGATGGATGGGCTATCACTTTGATGTCCCCGCCTAACATCTCCTACGCCTCGACCGCCCAAACGGTCGGATTGACAGCCGGCCACTTCCTGTCCTACACTGTCTTCTTGGCTTTCAACTCGAAGGACTTTGCGAACAGATGGTTCCGAACCATCCCTGGAGAAGGCGGTTTGCTGTCCCTCGGTACTTATCTTAACTTCTGGGGCTGGGCTTATCTGATCGTGACCTGTGGCCTGGCCTTCCTCAAGAAGGAAGAACGCACTAAGGAACGTGACAGCATTATGGATGTGTATAAAAGCATGTGGAGCGTTCTGAAGTTGAAGAACATCCAGACTATCATTCTGATTCACCTGATTGCCAAGATCGGCTTCCAGGCCAATGACGGAGTCACTAGTCTCAAGCTCCTGGACAAGGGCTTTGGCCAAGACAACATGGCCTTGGTGGTGTTGATTGACTTCCCCTTTGAAATCATGCTTGGCTACTATGCCGGCCAGTGGTCAACCAACTACGGAGCAATGCGCCTCTGGGGCTGGGCCTTTATCGGACGACTGGCAGCCGCCGTGCTAGCCCAATTCACCGTCATGATCTACCCCACTGCCTCGGAAATGCCAATGTGGTATATGCTCACCGTAATTGGCGAGCATGTCCTCTCAACCTTCATGAACACAGTCATGTTCGTCGCCATCTCGGCCTTCCACGCCCGCATTGCCGACCCAGCCATTGGCGGAACTTACATGACTCTCCTTGCAACGTAAGTCCTACTCCTTCCCTACCCCCTCACAAACCATGCACATGATAGCTAACATCTCACCTCCAGCGTCAGCAACCTGGGTGGAACATTCCCCCGCATCTTCGTCCTCAAACTCGTCGACATGTTCACTCAAGCAACATGTCTTCCTCCAGCCATCGCCCCACCCGCCGACTCCCTCAAGGGCGCCCTTGTTACAACGGCATTCTCCTGTGCCCTCGAGCCAGAGAAGAACCGCTGCATCAACGGCGGCGGTACCTGCCACGTCGACCGTGACGGGTACTATATGACCAACGTCCTCTGTGTGCTCATCGGCACGCTCACATTCATTATGTTTATTAAGCCCGCTGCGCAGAAGCTCCAGGACTTGCCTCTCCGGGCTTGGCGGTTGTCATCTAGCCCCCAACGGGGTTGATACAGTTCGTCTACTGTGGGTTTTGGTGTGTCGTGACGGCCTATAATGTCTTTGTATACCCTCTGGGATATTTTATAGATTGAATAAATAAATAATTTAGATAAGCTAGCATTCTTTCTCGCATCCTGAGTCTTGGTTGAACGAGGTCACTCGCAGACACAGGTGTAAATCACAAAACATCAAATAACCTTCCAGGTCGCCCAACACAGATCAAACCCATGTGCCCTTGTAGTGCCTCGAATATCTTCGGTATTGAAGGAACAGAATCTCGATCCAACAACCACGACTTGCTACTTGGTAATCGCGCGGCCGTTAACCCTGGTGCCATTGTATCGCGTCAACCTAGTACTGGCAGTTTGGTCACAATATATATCCAGGTTGTTGATGCCAGCCCGACAAATACTTCCCACAAACGCCATGTTCCTGATCCTTCTCTTCCCAGCAGAACGTTGTATACCCGCTGGTATTCATCCGAGCGTGCTCCATGGGAGATTGCTACTACCAACGTGCTGTGTGAGCGGAATCCTTCTACCAACAATAATCCTGCATTCATCCGCAAGGTCATGGAGGCGAACCCGATCGTGAAGGCTGCTGTTTAAGATGTCTTCAAGTGTTAACTCAATAAGACAGCGATGGAATGATGTTGGAACATCTATGATCTTCGATATTAGCCATTTATTTTCCATGAGCACAGTGTCTGAGCACAATATGTCTACCACATTCCCGAGCTATCCTGACTAGGTCGAGGAATCAGAGCAGGTCTGCAGAATGTAATTGCACTACCACGCTGGAAAATAAGCCCGGGTTGATATACTATGGTGTCATAGGCCAATTCCGCCCCTGGGGTGGGTAGAGTCTACATATGCTTTTCGTTTTTCTGCGAGTATTAATAGGTATAATGTATGAGGCATTATTGTATGGCTTACCGAGAAAAGGCTCCGTAGGTTATGGATAGTACATGTCAGAGAGCGAAGCCTGTTTTTGCCTCTAAATGTGAAGGTTTTCGCAGGGTTTCTGTACTTTCTTCGCGAGACAACCAACCCTGTACCCAGTGACCATTAAAATAACTCACCTTCTATTCCCGCCACAATCAGGACCGGACGAGCTGCACCGCAGCATATCTGATGAAATCCTTCAAGAAATCAGGGGGTCGAGAATATTGTATCCAATGATAGCCCAAGAACCTGACACTTTTTCCCCGATGCCAAGAAAAATGTAACCGAAACCCCTCTAGCCAGGTTCTTTCAGCTGCTCTTTAACTGCAACTAAAAGGAGTTGTTCTCGAGCCTATCGAGTCTCGACTGGCTGTTGATGGATATGATTGGACACACTAACTCCGCTTCTGCAGGTGCAGTTGTGGACTAAAATAGTCTGACTGGGATGGGCGTGGTGTATAAAAAGAAGCAATTTTGCACTTCCGGAAGTTTCAGACAAAAATTTCATTTCAGTTTATTTCTGATATTAATCCTGATTTTCACATTCGTTTCTACCAACTATAGCAATATGAAATTCCTCGCCGCATGTTTGACGCTCATTAGCGTCTCGCCCTGGACAGTGAACGCACTACCCAGAGCTGAAGAGCTCACAGTCCTTGCCTACAGAGCCGTATGTGAAACAACCCCGAAGTCATAGTCAAACCCGCTAATGTTTTATAGTGGGACTTCCGTTTCCTCAGCGAGGCACCACCGGTGTGCAACAGCTCCGTGAACAATATCGAATACTCCATTCTCCACTACTCTGGTGCACAACGGCGTGACTGTCAGGTATTAAATCTTGCGGAATTCAACTCGACAAACGTCAAGAGTATCTCGTGGAAGAGCCCGTCGGACGTGAACCGATATGATCTTTGCATGTTCAGCTCGCCTGACTGTTCCGGTGGGGAAGCTGCCTTGCTGAGCAGCATTACCAATGGATGGGATGTGTGCTATTTATACAATGGGTTCGAGTCGTGGACTATTATTCCGAATGGGGAGGCATGTGTTCCAGATGCGGGTGCTAGTGATGAAGGCGGGAAGGAATAGATGGGTTTGATCTGGCAATTGTGAAAAGTCGATATTAGGTGTTACATATGGGTGTATCAAACAAATGTTTATATGGTTGGAAATGGTGGAGTACAGAAATGAATGCCATCTTCCCAAGTTAAATATGTGGATTATTGCACGTGCTCATTGAAAGGGCACCGAAGGAATTTCGTACGTCAAGAATTGTCAAGCATATGTATGTTTGATATCGAAGAGTGGAGTATAATAGTGGAGAGTAAAGGCCCTTGACTGGCCGCTGAAAGATCGCTAGAGCTTCTAAGGGCTGATAGATTACACTGAGAGCCGAAACATTTGATTCTATCAGGCCTAGAGTATGCCCGCAGCGTGGCTCGATTATCCGGAGTGGAAGGCGAATGGTATGAAAAGAGATCCAAATAGCTCAAAAGAAGCGCAAGACAAGTCGCTGTTTGACTGCATCATTCCTCGACATCCCGCTGCAACTCTCGAACAGCCGAATCAAGAACGAACCTAGCATACCCACGATGCAACCTCAAAGTCCAAGCTGGAATGATTTTCTGTTTTTCCAACTCTCCCTCTGAATCCACAAGCTCGTAATCATGCGCAGTTGAGAACCGCACCTCAACAAACATCCCCTGTCCATTCACCTGGAACGGCTCAGAAACGCTCATCTCATGTCGCAGAGACGACATCAAGCGCCAGGGATATCCCCACCTTGCAATATTCTCAAAGAACTCGCGGGGTTCGTCCGGCAATTTCAACGAGACAAGCAGTCCATTGCTATCTGCGTCAGCGGCAGGGAGCCGCTGCACTTGGAACATACCATTCAGCAGAACGCGCGGTGCACCGGTGGTTTTATCTGGTGAGAATCCGCCCTCTGAGTTGCCTGTATCGCACGGTTTGAAGCGGAAATTGGTGAGCAGTCCGAGGAGAGAACCCTCAGTTCGTAGGATTTTGGTTCCGAGGACAGACCTAGCCCATGCATACTCGAGCTCTGCTCTTGTTGATATCTTTGGGTTTGGGACCCGTGCTTCAAGGGCTTGTAGGGGTATTTGTGCTGCATAGATGTCGGTATATGCGCAGCGCTGAGTGTCTGGGCTCAGTGGCTTGCGGAGGGCTCTACTACCCGCTACGAGAGGAAGTGCTGGGTACTTTTCTTCCAGATGGCTAAGTCCACGATGGATGCTGTAGCCAGCTATGCCGGTGGCGGCGGTGGTGTAGCCTAAAAGGCGGAGGGAGCGTCTGGGCATAGCAGTGAGTGTAGTGTTTAGGTTGATTAGAGAGCTCCACGTAGATTTGAAATAAAAAACGCGGTTTGAGGTTACTAACCACTTTGGGCACATCATCTGATGCGCTCGGGGGCCAAAGGAAATGTTGCCCCAACATAGCATTGGTAATTACATACTGTCACTTGCATCTCAATATGTCGAATGCCATAATTAAACTCAACAAGGTAGTTAGTACATAATAATACGAATTCAAAAGAATATAACCGTACTATCGATGTGACATAGTACATAGACACATGTTTCTAACAGAAAACTAGTGTCCGAACAATGTATGGTATGAATGGCCGATGTTGAGAACTCTCGCTAAAATGACAAAAATCCGCCATATCATCAATCTATGCGGACATTGATCAGTAACTGTATTATGCACTTTTGTATGGTATACTTGGTACTAAGTGTTATATGATTTTCTGGGTAGAATACCCTATCTCCACTATATACTCGACTTAGTATTCGATATACCTCCCAGTTCTTAAAGCCTATATTACCCTAGCTTTAAGAACTACTAATTTCTTGATTTCTATTCTCTTTTTTAAATAGCCTCTATTTCGTACATTAGATAACTAATCTCCCTTAACTATACTAACCAGCCCTCTAAATAGATACTATTTCTACGTTGGGGGCGCTTTGATAAGGCTATCTACCAGTATAGCCGTAGTTAGAACCAAGTCTATATTGACTCGACCCTCGCTAGCCTCTTACTTTATTTAGGATTGATGATATCTATATATTAGAGTTTTATATATATCATCGCCCCCTTCTTCGTTACTAAATCGACAGTCTGCTAGTGATCGTATATAATAGATAATGGATGATCTAGTTAGAAACCTCCTCGTCGCTAATATTATGTAGTTTTGCCTACTTCTATTAGAGTAGGAAGCTCTACCTTAGTAGTTAAGTATAGTCTTCTATTTTGTCGCTTCCTAGTTAATCGGACCGCTAACGAGCTAGATAATAATTCGGTAACTACTATAACTAATTAGTTAGTTACCCAACAAGTGGAACCTCGATTATATAACATAAATTACAGAACATAAACGAATACTCCATCCTCCGGTATGCCAGTCTTCATGCGCCGACAGCATTATCCCTTGTTTTACTTCAATTGATTGCTCTCTTCGACTATTCGAAATTCCGTATCAACCGTAATGTGACGATCCTGAGCATTATCCCTCCTGGTTCCGCTCATCTCGACTTGTACGTCATGTGTAGTCAACAAGGTCTCGTCCCAGTCAAGTGGCCTTTGTCTACCAATATATATTCTTTTGCTCGCTGTGTCCTGGTTGCGTAAAGCCTCAGAATACCTCCTCAAACTATTGCCAGAAATGCGGGCCACAATTGAGCGGAGCAGTGGATATAGTGTTGGGAGGCAGGCGCATAAGATGCCGATGGAGGGCTCAATGCTGGACCAGAGGTAGAAGTTGCCTATGACCCAGGTATAATCGTAGGGGGTTTTGAGGAAGGTAATGTAATAAATCCGGATAAAGCTTGCAATGCAGACACTGGGATATATGAGCATGAGTCAAATACACTTGGTCTAGGGGTAACACACATTCCTCCAACCAAAAAAATGCCGGATAGTAAGATTTTCTGTGGTCTTCGCATTTGTAGATTCCATAAAATAGGGATTGGAACCACTAGGATGAGCACATCTGTGGCCATATTCACCGTAGCTTGGGTGACCAAGAATGGGTAGATCTTAAACACACATCTTCCTCCACTGGGTTCTGCAAACTGTGTCCAGTAGTACGAAACTGGTCTACAGTAAGATAGAAAGGCGACCGACGAAGAGAAAAAATATCCCACTGATAGGAATATGCAGAACCAGATTGCATATGTCATACCGAAGATACGGCGGTAGAAGAGAAGGATGGATAATTTAACGAGTGGAGTGGTAAGCACGTAGAATAGGATGAAGATGAAGAGAATGCGCATCATTTCCACAACTTCATTAGGAGGGATACTCCACACATGCTTGCCGAGACCATTATATGCATTCGCTATCAACAAGTTAGAATTGAGTTCCCTTTACGCCGTTTAAGGATATGTACATACCACGCACAAGCAAAACGAGACCTGCAGTTGCGGGCAGCTGTATATATTTGTTAGAAACACGAGTCATTGTGGACAGATTTCTCTGTTTTCTTTTTTTTTCTTTTTTCATTTTTTTCATTTTTAGTGACAACATACCAAGGCCGCCGCGATCACCCAATCATCTGCACCTATTTTCACAGTTTGCACTCGAAATCTTGTATAAAATCGAAGCCCAACAGTTATCACTGCAAGGGAATAGGTTGCGATCACAGGAGCATAGTTCAGTTTACCGTGATCAGCATTTAGGTTCGTCCCAGCTGGAGGCTCCCCAAGTGGGCTAAGCGACATAGAGAATGAAAAAGAAGCTCACGATGCGAATAAGCCGAGTGCTGGATGAGCTACTTTTCAACCTTTAAATATAATCCCAAATAAGGACTTTCAAACTGTTACACGTTAAATCTTTTCAACGATTTCAAATGCAAGTCTTAAAATGCAAGACCAAAAAAACGGCCCTAAGACCAACCGGCCCCAATTCCCGTCCCCGACAGACCTATTAAATGATATCAATCTATGACGTGGACTTTAATCTTCACTAAGAACGGTTTGGATATAAATCACACGCTGATCACCTTTATAATTCCTATATTAAGGTTAAAGCTATGGAGACAACACCTAAGTTCGGAGAAACTCGTTCAGCCCTTAATTTTCCGTCTTCCTACGGTGGGTAGTGGGATAAGAAACAGATAAGGGGGGGGGGGAGGCAAAAACTCCACTGTTGATTAAATTAAACACACTAAAATGATCTATTCTCTGGATCTGCATTTCTTTTATCACGCTGGTTTTTACATAACCCGTACGTTGGTAATGCTCTCTTTAGTGGGTATGAAGGCAGCCTTGGCCTCCTCAGTGTTGCAGTTGTAAGGGTCTTTATCCATTACAATAGACTTCTGTTAACTAGGAAGAAAGTAGAAATATAAAAGGAAAGAATCCGGAATAAACAGATATAAGCGAAGGATAACTTATCTTTAGTTCCTAATACCAAAAGGGAACTGAAACGAGTACCATGATGTCTTATTTGACTATTAGATATACATTGAGAAGGGAATTTTGTGAGAATGAGAGACTTAATGAGCGAGATAGACATAGACACTTATTTATTTAACCTCGAGATGTTGCTGTAGAACGAGACCGTGGGCTCACATGACCTCCATTAAGGGGAATAGGTAGATGTGGTCCTAAGGTACTAGGGTGTAATTAATTTTTGACTGCGATGGATCGGAAGTCACTTCACCGGAAATTGTCTTAAAATTTAATGTCAACGGTTACCCGTGAAGGCGCTTTCGGACATAGATCAGGAGAATTCCCGTAGAAGCCCTAGCTTTTTGCAACCACTAAAAACCGGAAATTTTTCGGAAGCAATATATGATTTGGATCCCGGGTTTAGGATACAGTACTACGGTAAATCCTTCAATAGTTAGTGTTAACCCTAATAAGGAAGAAGATCGACGGCATTACTTTGCTAAGCGGCGGAAGATTGCCATCAAAGTGTGGGATCTTGATTGACTCGGGAGCTATATGTTTTATCAATGCCACAAAAAGACCCTCAAGGGATATATGATGTTGTGGAAGATCAACAGAATCCTAGTGCATACCTTGGTTGATTTCCTCTTTTGGCTATTGATTTGCTCACTAGAGCACAATATGGAGGGAAATAGCATTATAGAGCCTTATGACCGCTCTTGAAGCTAAAGGATCCTAGACATGCACATCTTCCCCTCATACAGCAATGGACCTCAGCCCAAGAGCTCCGCTACCATAGCCACCCTCCTGAAGCTGAAGGATCGTGAAAATGCACATCGTGCCTTCAAACAGCAATGGACCTCGATCCAAGAGCTCCACTATCATAGCCACGGGGCCTCCCACTACAAAATACTAGTATCATGGCAAATGTCTAAGTTGAGAACTTTGTGAGAATCGAAGCCCGTATGATACGAATGGAATACACAACATTTTGCTATTTCAGTTTCAGCAGAACCTTTCCTCTTGTATTAGTAATGCGTTTTACCATTAGTTACTACGGGCCTACCCTTGGCCACAGCTGCCAATGGAGCACCACTTGTCGAGAAGACTCTCAAAAGTACCAAATGGACCCTGGAGCATATTCTCCAGGCAGGTGAAGTCATCCTATCTGGCAACAGCGACGCCCGTAATAAGTACCCGCACTCAAATCCAAAGTCACTGAAAGGCGTTAATGTGTGGCCTTTTTTTTCTTTGGTGGAAGTTGTTCGTGAGAGCGTCTACCACAAGCTTCTAGCCGCTGAAGGCACTCCCTCGAGATACCAGAAATTGACAACATGTTCATTCCGTCTGTCAACTGCAGGCACTCTGAGATCGATTCGCGCGCTGAATTTGACTTCACCACTGTGCTCATTATGGATAACACGCAGACCTTCCTTGACTGGGATGTCTAAATATCCCCTGTTGTGATTGGCTCTGGAGGCGCGATGGTTGTCTCTATCGCCTCTAGATAGACTATTACAAACAGTGTCAGCGTTAGTGTTGGCCTTGACCTGAAGTTTATCAAAGGCAAACTGGGTGGTTCCACGGGTATCAACTCCGCCCGAACATGGACAACACAAACCGTTGTCACTGTCAAGGGAACCGTTGTGAACGGGTTTCTGGTGTCATGATCACGAGGTCTATCAAGACACGCAAGACTGGTCGCTCTATGAGAGAGAGGCTGTGTTGGCTCGTAGACGGATTATATTTGAGTGTATAAATTATTTTATTATAATATTTAACAGATATTATATAGTCTATAATTAGCCCTAATATTAGCTAAATATATGAAAGTAGCGGTAGATTCATCACTTTCTTTATATTACAAAGCCCTTTAATATAACTATAACTAGATTATTAGACTTTTAAAGACCAAGGATATTATAACTTATTTAATATTTAATATATATGATATTTTAAACATATCTATGTACTTTTAACTTATAAGAGAGTCTTATAACAACAAGCTATATTATATACTTCAAAAGTATTTGTCGAATACCAAATCCAAATAAATGATAGAAAGCAGGTATTATACCGGAAATATCGTTTGATATTGGGTACCAGGCATACCATACAAAAGTTCACGAGTGTATATTATAGTCATCGAGGTCTGCATAGATTGTCATTTTAATTAGTTAGAATGGTCAATATTAGTCATTTGTACTATATATTATTCTTATACTAGCTTTCTATTAGTTGTAAGCCCGGAATAGTTCTATTGAACCCTCGCTATCGTCGAAATTGAGGCTAAAGTGATGCTATATCGTTAACTACCCTCACCGAAGCAACCCCCAAACCGACCCCTAAATTGAAATCAAGAATCGGAGTTCTATCTATAAAGGATAACTAATGTAGCCGAATACCTCTCTATAGGTATATCCTCTCGCGTTATACTAAAGGATATAATAATATAAGATATATATCGTTAGCTCCCTGCCTCATATTTGGAAATACATTCCGCTTAAGTTTTTTTAGTAACCTTGATTTCCCGATTGTGTATTTCAAAGTAGGAATAAATAAAAAAGAATTTAGTGTTCATACCAACGTCCTTAGGGAATGTCTTGCATGCTTTTGCTCCGCACTTAATCTTCGTGATTGTGTCATTGGCTTTTGTGATGACAGAGGACATTTTTGGCCACAAACTTCAGTATATTTATATTGGAGACTATCATATTCCAAGCTCAGTGGATGAGTCAGCCCATATGGCTTGTGAACATGAAACCCATATCGCATCCGAAAGGCTTCACTACTTAAGGATGATTATTTTCGGACCCGCGCGAATACTTAGCAGCTTTTTGGATAATCTCCCAGAGAAACTTCCGTAAACCCCTATCCTGCTACTTTGCGGGGAAATAGGAAATATTTGCTAAAATGTTGATGTATTACTTACATATGAAGGACTGTATATATTCGGGAAAGAACACGGTATGGTTATACTTAAACGTTTGAGTTCATGGAAGCTAGTTTATGTTCTTAAGTATATGGACTTGGACCTATATCAAACCGATGGTATCGTTAAGCTTTTACTCTTGTTAAGTGAACTTAGGGAAAACGTCGATGGTCTATATATATTGATAGTTTATTATGCCACGTCTCGTTAGAGATTCCTTATACGATATCCCGCTTCGCCTCTTTAATATAGAGGCAGCCTGAATTAATCCACTGTATCTTTAAAGAGATCTATGAGTCTCTATAAATTCTTTTTACGGGACGAACATTCGTTTTCTTATTCCGAGATATAAGAATATCTTATACATCATTTGTTTATAGCTATGCGAGTATTCAGCTTCCTGGCATGATTGCCTGTGGTCCTTGCAAACAGTAAATACCTAAATCTTGCCTCTTTAGCTTTATCGTATAAGCTGGAAGGCCTTAACCGAGATATCTATAATAACCACCTGATTTGCTGATCGCTAAGATATGCACTTGCCCAACGAGGCGGCCATATTCCTAAATACACGTAGCTAGATATACATACACGGAATATATATGCAATGACTCGCGTACTTTAAACCTACGGAATCGAGAACACGTTGCAAGTCTTCCCTGCTCTTACACACATAAAACAGCATCACTTCTCTTGCGCCTTGAAGTATAAGGCTTACTCCCGACAAAATGGACGATATAGTTGGGAGCATAGGAATACAACAGTGCTAAAACAATAGTGCGGCCAGATATACTCAGCCAAGAACAAATAAGAAAAACAGATAATGACAGGCCTGGCGATCCTAGACTAACCGAACAATTATAATGATTCTGGGAAATCCTACATCTTACGAAAGACCACGTTTTCCCGTTGCCCCTAGACTAACCGCAATCATAAGCCCGATAGGTGCGTCACCGCGCCAGCGTTACCAATACGTAGGCGCTAAGACGGCGCGTAGCTGAGGCTTGACGGCTTGAGGCTCCTCCACGTGGTATTAATAGTATTCGGCTGCTGCACGTGAGACACTAGATGTCTTGGACCTTTTTATAAGGGTATTTCTCTCCCCTCTTACAGCAACAATCCTGCCTCCTTCATAAGCACAACCCCTCCTATCTATTAATATATCCCACCACATATACCCCTGAGATCAAGTCTGTCGTAAAAAGCATTACTTCTTACAACATGCCGGTCACCCTCTCTCCGGAGGAAACTTACCTTAATTAGTGGGAGATGATCACACAGGACCCAGTCAAGCGAGTCGCGTTTGAAAGAAAGTGCATTGAAGATAAGCGCAGCGATGAGAAAGGAGTCATTCTATTACAAGACAATCCTAGCAGCAGAGGCCACTGTCGTTTCTGGGAGTGCGTTCCTACCAAGTTAAATAATATCAGTTCTGCATTTCGTTTCGATGTTAAGGACCTTTCCGGTCGACATTATGGTAAGTCCTCACAGTCCCGTTAAAACCTATCTTGAATCTCACAAGCTGTAGAACCGAACATGCACTATCATGTGTCATTTATGGAGCAAATATTTCCCAACCTGAGTGTTTTGGTAGAGCGGGAGGTTTTGCAGATGGAAGTCGGGGTCACCCAGCTCACCTCAGCCAGCTGACAACTATCACGCTTTCATAACGCCATTGAAAATTGGTTCCGCTATAAGGGCCACCTTCGAAGTGAGCCTATACGATTGATTCCAAACAAACTTTGCGAAAAGTGTTTCATTTGATACCTATCAATTTAGATTTCCAACTGAAGTGAGTTAGTTATCTCTTGGGTTCCTACTGGATCCTCACAAGCAGCGAAGCATTATTCCAGTAATCGTTGAATGGCATATCCGCCTCACAAGTCAAGGATGGACTGAATCGCTGCAGAAATCCCAAAGCGAAAGAGGTTCACAAAAATAGATGAACAGAATCAAGACAAAAAAGTAAAACAAAAAAAAGTAAAACAGACCCAACTTTTGAATGTGAACCGATTCGCACTCAAATGGCAATCGCCAGGTGCTCGCGATGAAAGGAAACAAGATCATCACTTGCCTCAGCCTGCCCGGACCCGAACGACTGCAAATTCCATTTGTCGATGCCATCAACCCCCTCCAGGTCATTCGCAAATGTGTTAAACAGATCTTGGTTAAGCCGTTCATATTCAGAGTAATCCTTGGGCCAATCTCCAAGGCGCTCGACGGCAAGTTTGAGCATGTGCAAGTGCTGTCGGACATGTTTTCCTTCTTCCTTTTCTCCTGGACTGGCGGAGGATGAGGGTGATGACATGCCAGAGATGACCTCCATGTCCACATCGCTTGCAGACGCCGAGGACGGGTCGATAAACACGCGTAGGGCATTTTCATGCAGGGCCGCCGCTTTCCGATAGTACCGATAGGCTAGCTCGTGTCGACCCTTCTGTTCTTGATAGCCTTGAGCCATGCTGGTGTACATCTGCGATAGTAGCACGGTCATCTCGATAGTACTCGGGTGGCGGGGCCCATGGACACGAGCGCAGTTGTACACAAGGTCTTCTGCGAGCCGAACGGAGGCTGCGTAGTCACCAATGAGGTAGCGTGTAATAACTAGCATGCGCCCGAGAGCAAGTGTATAGGCATGTTGTGGCTGTAACAACGTATAGGTATCCCGGCTGTTCCAGAGGGAGGTGAGAACCCAGGCCAAGGTGTGGTAGTCGTGTTGCTCATCGAGAACCTTGATCAAGCTATTGACATTTGCTAGATCTAGCTGTGCGAGTTCAATGTTGTGCTCTTTGAAATAGCCTAGCGTGTCACGCAGAATCGTCGCTGAGACGCCTAGCATCTGCTTTTGGACAAAGGCTGCGGGTGGCGCGTCAATTTCTCGGCCAGCGATGAGTAGGCCAAGCTTAAACACCAGCTTGCTTGTCGCCTGGTCCGAGTAGCCGTGGTGGGCAGCAACATATTTCATCGCCGCCAACGCGAGGTCGCAGGCGGACTGGTAATCTCCGGATTCGAGCTGCTGGGCTACGCGGTTGTAGCTAGCGATGGCCACTGAACGAAGGAAATTGCGCGAGGCATGGTTGCTAAAATACTCAAGGAGCGTCTCAGTAAATACCTTTGCCTGGTTGGAGTTCATATCCAGGCTGGAGCCCTCAGACGCCAGGAAGAAGCTGGTGTACTGATCCACCACCTGCGTGGCAGCCGACCGACGACCGCCGCTGAGTAGGAACGCGTGCAGGCGGGCCACCGTGGCCGTCGTATGTTGCAGATTGCTAGTCTTTGAGCTTAGGGCTTCGCGGAACTGTTCAAAGCACAGATACTCCTTGGTCAGGGCAGCGTAGATCTCATTCAACGTGGTTGAGGCGTTTGCGGATTCCCGTATGATGTGTTCGAATTGAGCCAGGAAAAAGAGGCCCAGCCGGTGGTTTGAACTCTGGTTCAAGCCAAGGGCACTGGGACTTCTCCCATCCTTGGTCATTATCTGGAGATAAATCTCGTCTGAGAGATCCCTCGCCTTTTGAAGTTGACCGGCTGCGATATAGCCAGATGCAATGCTCTTGGCCGCCGCAGTGAGCTTGATAGAGGATATCTCAGTGGAAAGTACTTGCACCGTTGCTTCCTCCAGCAATGAGGTAGCAGCCTGTGCCTTGTTCTGTTTGGCATATAGTGAGACAATCTCCTCCATCTGGGACAGGGCTTCTTCGTGTGCCCATCCATAGCTGGAGCGGATGGATTTTAGTCGTTGAGTGCGAATAGACTCCACCTTCTGTAGGTCTTTTGTCGACATGTTCTCCACTTTCAAAGCAGTCAAGGAGGCATTCTGTTGCTCATAGATAGCCTGCAGAATGGCACGGATGTCCTGATGGTCGATTTCAACTTCACTGTTTTTGACCCTCAACAGTTCTTCGTAGAGCTGGATCGCTTCCGTGTCATACTTCTTGGACTGTTGGCTGATGTTCGCCAGCGTGTTCGTCGCCTGAATGGTGATTGACGCGTTTGCACCGAAAATGTTAATGCACGCTTTGCGATATTTCACCGTCACGTCATGAATGATGGTGATGTCACTGCGAGCCACGCGTAGACAGTACACATAACGTTCATAGATGCTTTGAACAAATGCCTGATCCTGCAATTTCGAGCTGATCGTAGGGTTCTGCAGGGTCGTGAACAACACTTGGCAGGGCTTCAGCGCGTCCGCGTAACGGCCTTGTTTCAATAGCTCAGTTGCCACAATCAGGAGGGGCTCGAACGCATCCGGGTGGCAGGTCTCCGAGTCCTTGTTCAGGATATGGACGATCTTCTGGTAGTAGTCCATTGCGATAGGCTGTGGGTGCGTCAGTCTCGCCAGGGTCCAAAGCTTTTGGATCACAATGGGATGTTCCCCGCCAAATCTCTTGGTGTAATCTTGGAGTATATTCTGGTGAACGGTGATGACCTTATCGGTTTGAGAGGTACGTTCGTATAGACGAAGAAGGTTCATTGTGACTCGCTCCAAGGTTTGATATCCGCACGCTGGCCGATCGCGTCGAGCTGCACGATAAACCCGGGTTCGTATATCCTCTTCCTTGATTGGGAGACGGCGGGAGCGATAGCAGTCGGCGAGATGCTGTGCGAGTTCAATACAGTATTCAACTTTGGTGGATGGCAGGGCGACTTCTTCGAGCGAGGGCGCAAACAACGATGGCCACAAAATTCGCAGTACTCGTTTCAACACACTTGTAGCGTCATGCCACCGGTGTTGAGACACGTACATTTCGATCAGTGATGTGGTCGCTGTGGTGGAAACCTGCTCGGCGCTGGATGCGCTGCACACGGTTTCCTTGAGGGTGGACTCCGTCACCATTGATTGTGAGCGCATCACTTCCAGAGAGGCGGACTGGATGTACTTTTCCACGTCTTTGTGGATGGAACTTTGGCTGCTAGTATTCTGTGCGCAGTGTTTGTAGACTTCGATGGCCAACACGGACAGCCCCGCGGACTTCATCACCTGAGCAAGCTCCAGCAGATGTGGCACCACGGCTTCAGGGCTGGGGGCGGTTTTCTCGTACTCTTCCCAAAATCCGGCAACGATCGAGGCTGTTTCAGTGTTTCTCTTCTGGCCTTCAAGGAATTTAGCATACGCGAGAACAGCTCGCAACATTGTGAGCTTGTGCTCAGTAGAATGATTAAGCCGATACTCCTGGCTAGCCTGTTGCCAGAGCTCCACATAAGTTTGTTCAGCTTCCGTAATGAGATTCTCTCTCTTCCGTCGCTCGGCTTCGGCCAAGTGAGTTTCCAGGTCAAAGGACCAGGTAATCAACTCATCCACCTCTATCCCATCCAAAGTCAGGGTGGTGCCGGTCTCTGTCGGCGTCTCTTTCCGGCCGTGGAGGTGAACCAGTAAAGAATCGTCCACCTGTCTAGACCCTTTCCGCTGGGTTGTACTGTCGGTGACGGAACCTTCCAGGGACATAGTGATCTCCTGGGCTTTGCGGTACTCTTTTATGGAAGTATAATGCTCGGACAACTGCGTCAGTGTGGAGGTGACCATATCACTTGTACCCCCGTAGTGGACCTTATAGCATTCCACTAGTAGTTGGAGCATTTCGACACGCCGGGTCATGACTTCCGTCTTAGACTCAGTGACTTGTTCAGCTGTGCTCTCCAAGAAGAACTGTGCCATCTGCATAGTGATGAGATGTCGGACGGATAGCATATTTTGGCAGATTGTCGCCGCCTCATAGAAAATTTGGCCGCTCTCGGCAGGCGCACTGATGTAGATCTGTTTGTGGAACAGCGCCTGGGAGATTATAGCCTGCAGAGTGGCAGGGTGGTTACTGTTCAGAATTTCGCGGTACAGTAATTTTTGAATCCTGTGAATGGACCGGAGCGACGGAGTCGTCTTGCTCGTCCACACAGTCATCTCTAGAAGTGGCACAGCAGGGCTGGTGGGGAAGACAGATCGTAAGCTCTTGCCCGCTTTAGTGACCTCTTGGTCGTTGGTGCACCCAAACGCAATGTTGACATAACTTGGCCAGTACCGAAGCGCAAAGTCCAGCAGGGGATGTTTCTCCAGTAAGTGTTCTGTCACCCGCCCGTTCAGTGGATCCAAAGAGGGCTCATGGCCATCGGTCACACTGTGCTTTGCGTATAATAGGAGCCTTTGGGCAAAGTCCACATTCCGATCCTTGAGCGCGGGCAGGATTTTACCCTTGGAGAAGATGTCCAGAATAGAAACACGCACCTGCGCGTGCCTAAGATAGACCAAATTGTTTTGGAAGAACACAAGTGAGGCGACCGGTTTCAGTACTTGAAGGAGGTCAATGTCGCCGTGCTCAGTGACTTCGGCCTTGTTGGGCTGCATGGAGAGAAGAGCGGCCAATTCCTGCTGGGAGAGAGGGCGGCTCGCGGTGGCCAGCCAAACAAGAATCTTCTTCGTATCCTCGTCGAGCTTGGGCTGCAAGGTGTGTGAAACATGGTCGGTGATTTTGTATCCCGCTTTCACGATGCTCTCAACAGACTTGGAAAGCGCGGACTTATTTGGCAGGTGTTCATCGCGCACGTGCTTGGCGGCCAGCTTTGCCCAGAGGAAGGAGCCATCAGATGCCTCTGTGATACGGCCCACCGTCAACTCTTGGTCTTCGTCAGACATGGTGTTAAAGGCGTGGCTCTGG